ACACTTTCCCTGCAGCTTCAGCAGCAGCTTTGACCCTGCTCTGACTTGCCCACAGCAGGCAGGGATTATTTTTCTGTGGCTTGCTTTTCCCTCCAGCCACCAAGTGGTATTTAAGTCAGCCCAGATGAGTCACCAGGGGGAATCAGAATATGAAAGCAAAAGGATTATAATGGAACATCAGCTGTGTGACTGTAAATGCCTGAACACTGTGGCTGAGTTTGTTTATTTTTCCTTCTACCAGTGTGCCTGAACCAGCAGATTATTACTGTCACCCACCTCCAGCAGGCTGTTGGTCCCCTCTGGCTGGGCTTGGGACCACGGTAGTGAGGGAAAGCTGATTTAGACATTGGCCCACAGTCAGATCAGAACTGGGCAGCTCTGTTAGCATAGTCATATTTCCAAGGTCTCTGTATTTGATGTTCATCTCACTAAATATGTTAAAATTTTGCCTACTTCAAAGAAAAGCATTATGTTTCCAGATGTCTGTTTCATAAGATTGTTTTGAAACACAGTGAACACTAGCCATGAAAGTCCAAAGTATGCACTGGCAAGGGAAATAAGTACAGAGACCAGAGGCAATAGTTTGACTGTGACCCAGAATAACAGGCCGTCAAATGTGTAGTTCAGATCATAGAGACTCCTAAGCTACTGATAAGAGACTGTGTTTCGGGTCTATTTTGACTTTAGACTCTGAACTTACTTCTTTTAGGTACTTAGTGGAGAGGAGCACTGCTCTCACTATTTACTTGCTCTGGTTGTTTTGTCAAATGAGATCAGGAAGGATAGGAATGTCTAGAACTGGTATTAATCCTCCCTCCCAGCAGTGAGGCAATGGAGCAGGTTAGTTTGCTGAATCTAGACAGTATGTGTTAAAAGGTTTGACTCTGGTTCATTATGATGCAGTCTGCTGTGTCTGTAGTTGTCTGAGGGTATGAAAGTCTTGGTGCTGAACAGGTCTATAACATGCACCTTGTTCTTCAGAAAGGCCAATATGGAGTGTGACTGGTAGCAGAAGGTCAGGATGGATGCTGTGTTGACATGGTAACACAAGAATGATGAGGTGGGATAGAGGCTAAATTGGTTCTTTGTTGGTGGCACAGCTGTCACCTAAAGGGAGGTTCCCTCTATGGGGCCCAGCAGGACTTCCCTTAATGAGTGATGGAGACACACATGACTCTGCTGCTGCTGGTTCTGGGTCTCTACATCTGAGCATAAATGCAGTGTGCATGTTTGTGCAGGTTAAAGTTCTCTCTGTTGCTATATTAATATGCTGTAATAGCTGGTTTTGTGAAAGTACGTTGTATTAAAACAAAATCTAAACAGTCATGTTGGTATTTGCTTTGTGGAACAAAAAAAACCCACCATCCCCAGTGGATTGCTGGGAGGAGTGAGATTATTGGATCCTGCCAGACACGCCCCAGCCATATGTGTGTGTGTGTGTGTAAGCAAGTATGTGTGTTCTCTGAACCTTATCCCCCTGCATCACCAGCTGCCATGCACACATATACAGAGTGGGGGAATAATAATACCAGTGAGGCCTGTTTCCTAATGCATTGCGCTATTAGCCACTGACATTAGAGAGGCAAGAAATGACAGGAAGTGTGTAGAGGATATATGGAGGGGGAGGGCTGACTAGGGTTTGTGTTTGTACAAGCTTGTCTCTAGAGCCCTGTAGAGGGATTAAAGGATCAGCCCCTGATAATTTCTATCTCCCTCTCTGGCTCATTCTCTCTCTCCCCCAGTCTTCATTATATCTATTCTGCTAAAGATTTGCATTGATATTTGCTTTATACAAACATGCACCACAGAATTTTTTCCAAACAGAGGGGCGGTCAGCGTGTCCTTTTTGCCCAGCTACGGTCACTTTTGGAAAGCCCTGTAAATAAATGATTGTGTAAATGAAACGCTGTGCCCTTCTTGATCAGGTGCAGACATTATTCATGGGATTCTACGCCCATAGAGATCTTCCATTAGAGATTAAGGGGAGAGCAAGAGGTCTGTTTCCTGGTCTTGGTGTCAGATATAGATGCATAGACTCAGTCCAGATTACACCTTTGAGGAAAGACAAAGAGGTAAAAATTATAAGAAGCTGAAAGGCATCAGATCTTCAGGCAGGTTGTGCTCTGTGGTCATTACTCAGGAAAGATAACTACAGCATTTACTGTGAGTGTAGTCGTGTGTGTGTGTGTATATGTTTCTATCAAGCCGACCGCATCTACCCACTGTGGCCCACATCAGAAGCCCAGCTTTGAGAATCATCCATGGGATGGAATTACAGTGCGGGCCTCTACTCGTACAGCTCGATTGTCTGGGCTGTTGAAGGGACAGATTTACTGGATACCTGAGAGAACATTCTCTCCTTCCCCTGCACTCTCAGCAGCCTGCTTAGAGACAGGCCTGCATTATAGATGAGCTCCTGGCAACCACCACGCTCTCACAGCACTCAGGTTACCCCCATTAGATATACACAGCTACAGTACAATCAATTCGCATTAAACATGGGAGCAGCATCCGTGTGGACCAGCAGACTAGGACATCTCCAGTTTGAGCCCCATCAGGAACCTTTTTATGTGCCTTTCTCTTTTGCCATCTTTTCTGTTCTCCAGTCTATTGTCAAATGGCCAAAATGCCAAATAACAAATCTATAATTAGAAACACGTCAGGGTCTGAACCCCAGGCTGGGTGTTGTGAGTTATCTGCATCAGAGGGATCAGCGCTCGATTGTACTTTGACCCGTGCTAAGTGGAAGAGCTGTGTGTTCATGCCAGCACTTGCCACACAGGGCAACATAAACAAAGTGTGTTTCACTTGGACTTCCACGTAACACAGAGCCAGCTCACCATTCTGCCGCTCTGACTCCACCCTCCTGGACTTTGAGCTCCTCTTCCTGTCTCCGTACACACTGTACAGCCTCTCACTCTCTCTCTCTGTGCCACACTCTGTTTTCTACTGCCCCTTTCAAACTTTATTGGGTTTCTGAGGCTGTGTCCTCATGGATTTAAAGGGGAAGAAACTCAAGTGTCATTTAAACAGTGATTGCTTCTCTGCTGTCTGCTGCTTTTTTTATCAAGGGTGGTAAAGGAGCACAGTCAGGCTGTGGATAGATGACCATCTGTTTGCCTGAAAACACACTGCATGCTACACTTGCAACAAATTAAAGCCCCCATGTGTAGGATCTGAACATATCTGACTTGGGCAACCCCCAGTGGCAGTGTTGATAAAGACACTGTGGCAGCCTGCACTGGTCACTGATACTCTCCTGCCAGAATAATGTAAGGTAACATGTTATAATAATGCCTGTAAACTTTTAGAAAAGTTAGATTTTCTTAACTGCATCTTTAATATGAAGCATTTTATCATTCTCCATTGTGAAATGCAGGGTTTTGTTATACTTTAAGTTGCAGGTTTGACTCAAGTAGCAGAACAAATGTTTTTTTTAATATGATAAACATGGCCACTGTAGTTTTATTTTGACTCAGTCCAACATACAAACCATCATGCTGCCATAAATACTTGCTAGAGCATCATATGTGTATGAATCCACATCTAAAAATGCAAAGAAAATGTAGAATATCGCAGCCTTATTCTTTTGTTCTTACATTTCAGTTATTAACCTTTTTACTGCTTCTCATACACTGAACATGAGTGATGAATTTTAACTGCTAATGTTAACACACATAACACAACATTAACGCCAGTATTAAAGCATGGCGTTTCATGCTTGACATGGAGATCTGCATGGCCAAGTGATCTCAGCTCAAGATCCATTTACTTTGAGCTGTCAGCTGCATATAT